GCAGAAAACATGGGACAAAACTTTCAGGACTTACTGATGGTGGTGTCTGCTTAATTCAAGGTAAGCTTAATACAAGTAAACTTTCACTGTAAATAAATTCATGATTGGTTGGTGTTCATAATAAAGTTATTTCCTAGCTTTCTTTTCAATTTTGTTTCTCTCTGTCAGTACATTGTATAATCAACACTGCTTTGACAAAGTAGTTTATGTCCATAATAACAAAACTAATAATCATAAATAATATCACTTACAAGCTTCCACAGCAAAATTAAGTGCAAGAAAAATTTAACAATTTTGAAATATTGTCTGCCCTAAGAAACCACACCTGCCGAAGAATTATGGAATGCGGCAAAGAAATGGTAAACATAAAGTTCTCAAACTGGTGTTCAGAAGCTTTGACTGAGGATTGAATCTACAAGAAACAAATTGAAAAATGATTTTGTTAATAATAAACATGCACAGTCATATATATATGGTGGTCTAGAATTGAAGAAGTGCAAAAACTGTAAGTGACTTTATGATAATAATGTTTGAGAAAAAATTAACAGCATTTTGTTATTTTTTAGATACAGTATGGCATCAACTTCATATACACTGGATTAACGTTTAGGAACTAGGAATGCTTGCTCAAGACAATAATAATTATTACTATTGTCTTGTTGGCTGCTAGTATGAATAATATTGAACTCACCTTGTAAATGTAAGTATTTTGGTTGCTCTTTTCCAAGATACCAAGACAAGCTACACATGTTCTCTTAACATCTGTCTAAAGAAACACATAACCACAACTGGTGTACGGTGATTTAACTACATATTGAAAGTTTTTATCTTGGAAAGGAATTGTTTCAAAGAGATGGTGCAGGTAGAAGTTAGAAGCATCTGTGTAGTAGCTAGGCTAGTTTAAAGCTGATGGGCAGGCGGATGCTACATGTAGGAAGCATAGGAAAAACGAGGCCTATGGAAAACTTAGCTACAATCATGGACGAAAGTCTTGGGACAAGATGGATGTTTGTCGTCAGATTGAATCCTTTTACCTGCTCAGGGTTTCCGTATAATGAGATGTTCCGCTCTCCAAGCAGACGTAGAACACATCGTGCACAACAGTTCATTTCACTAAGGACTCGACTCACCGTCACACGCATGTCTTTCTCTTCAGGCTGTTAGTCAAAAAGTTCGCAAAGAATAGTCATTTAGAAAATAGTTTAAGAATTCTATCAGCTGACGCAGCAGTTAGCGAGTTGCATTAATTG